CTTCTATGCAAGTTTTAGACCTTGAAACACTTTGTATGACCCTACATAAGAGTTTACGGCCATGAGGAGGGTCTCATGGGCCGTAAACTCCATAATACCCCTCAAATGTCCCATAAAACTCATGTAAGGTCTTGGAATAATTCTAGTAATCACATGTGATTTGTTTTAACAACATTAAACATCATTTTCATGAAGATTAAGGAGTTTACGGCCAGGAGCCTATACTGGGCCGTAAACTCCCATAAAATAATCATTTTTGATGATTTAAACTCATTCCAAGTGTTCCAAGGCAATTTAGATAATCCATTCTAGCAACCCCTATGTCCATTTGAGCCCTTAAACCATCAAAACCACACCCACATGAGTTTACGGCCGTAAACTCATGTATGTGTGTGTTTTATGGTTGTAAACTCTTTAAAATGTTTACTCTTGGGGAGTAAACTCAAGTCCCAAGTCCCTAGTGCCATTACAAGTCCGAAGATGTCACCCGGGTCACTCCAACGCTCGTTTTGAGGTGTTTAACCTCATTGGAGTGTAATGTTCCATATGATTAGTGAATGTATCTCTAATTGTATATATATGGACATTATATCATTTTACATAGGGTCATCGCGAGTAATCAAACCCCGAACCGACGTAGCATTCAAAACCGACACGTTTCGAGTCCGGTGAGTTCATACCCCTACCCTTTTTCACTGTTTTCACTGTTTTCAGGGGGGAACACAAGCAAAGTACAAGGAAATTCTTGTACTCAAAACATGTTTTCAAATGTGTATTTCATATTTCGTATGCTTTTATAACTGATTACCACAACCGATAACAGATCGAACATGCAAATCACGTAACACATATTTGTGAAATAAGTCTTTAAACTAGTATGTTTTACATGAATTTCACAAATGGTTTTCCACATTATATCAGTTAAAAGCACGACATTAAAACATTTGAACATAATACCTGTACACTTTTTGTCCTCGGTAACACTCCCCACACATATACGAGTGGAGGACTATCATATTATTACTAGTAAATTTGTTATTCCTGTATGATTGGAGACACGTCCTCGGAGAACACTCCACCCAGATTACGCGAGTGGAGGACTACACCCATAACCAGAATCTCTGGTATTTAGAGAGCGTGACTTGAGTGTATAGATCTATACGGGGCTGACTACCCCACACCTGGCTGCTAGCTACAGCCGAACCGAAATGGTTCAAGGGTGACGAAAGTCATAAGTATGTGGACGACTTATTGCCACATGTGGACTACTTATTGCCACAGGTTTCAGTCTATTGTATGGTTATGGAACTCGCAATTAGGATAACAGAGATTTACTTACAGTAATAATGGATTACTTTATATATCGTTTACATCTTTTACATCTTTCACGTACTGTAGCTAACATTCAGGAAAGTACGGGACTTTCCTGGGGAAAACATGGAACCTAACTACATTTACATCTTTTACATCTTTAACATCGTTTACATTAGAAACCTACATGCAGGAAAGCATGGGGCTTTCCTGGGTAACACTTACATAACTAGAAAGAGTAACAAACTGGATAGCATTACATCTTTTACAATGTGAAACATACAATAAGGAAAGTATCGGACTTTCCTGGTAACACATGATAAGTAAACATGTTTTCAGTGTACAAACTTACTATACTTTACATTTGTGAAATAATAACCAACTTTTAAGAAAATACGGGATTTTTCTTGGTATACATAACATTTCAGAAATCGAAAGGAATCCAAAACATTTTCACAAACAAAAACCGCTTATGAACTCACCAGCTTTATGCTGATTTTCAAACCGCTTGTGTTCTCAGGTCGACGTTAGAACAGGTACCCGAAGATCCTTTTGCTCGAAGACGGAGTACATGAAGATCCGTTTCATTTTGTCTATATATACTATGTATCACAACTGTACAAACTTTACTTTTGAAACAACTGTAAAACTTTTATTATGTAATGTAATGGTTGTTTTACTTTACTTACTATGTACATTGGATTTGATACTCAACGTGGTAGTCAACCCCAGAAATGTTTTCCACCTTCGGTTTTCGGGGTGTGACACATACTTTGTATCATATGTCTGCAGAAATTCCTCTCAAGCTCCATACATATGCTTGATGCGCTTTAAATTGCCAGAAACTTGTCAAGATTCAATGAAAAAATGCATTTGATATATTTGTTGTTCAAAATAATTGGAAATATGAATGTTATCCTTTATGTTTGTATAGTGATTTACGTGCTTGCATAAAAATAAATAAATGCACAAGTGGATGTCTTAATATATCAAATATTTCCATGAAAGAATATGTTTGATGGTTCTTATAAGCTTAATTAACCCCAAATGTATTTTGTGACTGAATTTGAGAATGTAGGCAGCACCATGAAAACCATTGATGTTGAGTTTGTATGCATTGAAGACCAGACCTCTATATTAAACATTAAGCACTGAGTATCTGGATATATCTGTATATAGTAATATGTTTATAAATAAATTCTTAGCTACTAAACAAAAACCTCAAGGAGCAAATAAATAGAAGACATGACTTAAGGAAGTGGTCACAAAAACAGACCTGGGACAAGGTTAGTGTTCCCACATAACAAAACAGCCAATAGCAGTCATAATTCCTAAAAAGACCAATATACACCTGTAGCAAAAAAGATAGAAGTTACATTACACCTTGGGCTATTCTTGGATTTCTTGGACTTCCTATGATTGGGGCTTATCAACTATGTTGGAAGAATTTATTGGAATTTCATTTATTTCCTACATTTCAACCAAACAAGATCATGGAATGTAAGTGGACTCATTACATTCACCATTCATATATCCTTTTTGTTCCATCTTGTTCCTTCATCATTCCGTCCAACCAACCACAAAAAATAAAATAACAATAATAATAATAAATCACATATAGGTTGTGTTTAACTATGTTCTATTAATTAGAGAATTTCAGTGTAAGCTGCTGCCAAATTTTTGAGAGATCAATAACTAAATTTTTTCATATGATATTTTAGCAATTTAATTAATCAGGTGTGCCTTCTTAAACAGGAACAATTTTTTATCATTTGATGATAATATTTTTTTTCCCTTTAACGACAGTTTTCACAGAGGGATGAGTGGACTCTGCTAGGTGATACCCATGCTTCTAGACACATTACTTTGGTAACACATTAGCAGCAACTCATATGTATATGTATGTATATATATATATACATCATGGTTGTAAAAATCGGCCTAGGCGGCCGATTAATCGGCGCCTAGGTGCTTGGCGGGCTCCATCCGCCTACGAATAAGGGTTAGAGGGTAAAATAATCAGCCTTGATCAATATCGGTCAAAACCGGTCCAACTCGGACTCCCAATTGTGCCAAATCGGTCAAGCTAACCATGGGCTCAAAAGAACCAATTAGCCCACCGAGTAGTTGGGTTTGATTTTTTAAAGGAACCTAAGTCTCCTTTTATTAGATATGTGTGCCTTTTTTGTCCCACCAGCGATGTGGGATGCCAAACTTGTAACCTTCATTTTTTGTTCACAACTCCATCGATGTGGGATGCCGACGGTGAAGCATGGGAATCTGAATGCTTTCTTATGAATTAAAATTGCTCGAAACGTGAAATCATGGAATGCTTTCTTCTCCAAGCTGTGGACTCATCTTCTCTGACGGACGATGCAACAACTTTGGTTTGAATCCTTTACATGACTGCTTTCACAAGGTTATGGCGTTTTTAGGTCAGAGGTTTATTTCAGCAGATTTGGTGTTCCACCCTCTAGCGATTGTTGACCAAATAACAATCCGATCTCTTCTGCATATGATAACTGAAATGCTTATTATCGCAAATGCTTAGTATACAATGCTCCTCCTAATCCGAGTTAGGAGACATTGGAATCTATCGATGTCAATTCCAATACAGTGGAACCTAATAATCTCAAATCAATCTGTCCAAATGACAACAAGATATGATTCCAGTGGATTATTTTTGGTTTAAGAAGTAACATCACAATTATTGAATCGATACAATGTTCGATGTGACGATGCACACCATGTGCTCGATTAAGGGGGTGTTTAGATTGGGAAAAAATAGGTTGCTTATTGCTTATTGCTTAATCCCACCGCAATAAGCAAATTTAAGTGTTTTGATAGGAGTCTTTAAAAATCAACTTATTGCGATAGGATTAAGCGAAATAAGCCGATTTTAATAAGTAAGAGGGGGAATGCTTATTGCTTATTACTTATTGGTCATTTTACTCATATAAGTTGTTTTGTTTTCCAAACACTTAAAATGCTTATTGCTTATTGCTTATTCCCACCATAATAAGCTAATCCAAAAACATTTTAAGAAATGCTTATTCTCACCACAATAAGCAAATAAGCAATAAGCTAATAAGCTAAAAACTATTTATCCAAACACCCCCTAAATGTATCTGTGAAATAACAATGTAATTGTTGTTGCTGCTCATTCTACACACATAACTTCTTTTGGTGGAAGAAAGATAACTGAAAGATACCAACCAATAAGTTTTAACTATGCCTAGTATTATTGTGATGTTATTTAAGGTTGTCTAATGAACTACATCGATGATTTCTTAATCTACAAGGGTTTAACACAATGCACATAACTAATAACAATTACTCTTAAGATATTTATAGAAAATTGATTCAACGATTAATGGTATATTTAATACATTCTTAGGATTAATGTTATATTTATTAAATTTTTATATATTTTTTTAATAATGAATGTCCCCGATTAATCCCAGTCTAGTCGATTAATCCATTGACCCCAGTCTACCGCTGAGCTAACGTCGAGCGATTTCTGCAACCTTGATATATATATATATATATATATATATATATATATATATATATATATATATATATATATATATATATATATATATATATATATATATATATATCTTAACTATATTATTAAACATATTGCCCATGTCTGGAAAATTAAGAGGTATACATTTTATAACACCATGTATAATCTATTAAGCTTACAATGTATACGTATACACGCACGTATCATTGTAACGTATGGTCATAGCTTCTCGTGGAATACCCTAATACCCTCTAGACACTATCAGCCACCGTTTCTTCCAAAAGATTCTTCCAAATCTATTCCATTTACCTCCTCACTTTCTTCAACCTCCGATAGGCTTCCATTACCACCACCCTCCTATAGTTGTCGCTATCGCCACCCTGCCGACGTTGTCGTTACCTTCAGTCGTCGTCTGCAGCCCCGCTTCTACCTAGAAACCCTAACTCTATCTCGCTGCCACCATCGGACACTATTAACTACAAGCCCTAACTCTTCTAGCTGCGACTGAGGACTTCTCTTCGACCTTAGCCTCTTTATCTTAGAGCATGCGATTTCAATTGTTCTCCTCAACTCCTGCTGGTATAGCATATTCTATTACCTGAATTTTATGTTGATGTTTTGATAGGTCGACCTAGATTTGGGTAATTATGAACGCTTCTTAGACGTGAGGCTTACTAGATATAACAGCATAACCACTGGAAAGATCTATCAGGTATCATTACCATTTACCAAAATTTGTGTTGTATCATTTCTATACTCTGTAGTAGTGATTAATGCTAGATTCTTTCAGTAATTTATTCTCATTTTTCCAGTCTGTTCTTGAGAAGGAACGAAAAGGAGATTATCTTGGAAATTTCGTGATTTTTTAGACGGAAGCCATGATGAAGGTGGGGATTCAGGGTCGGAAGTTTCGTTGGATGGGGATTCAGTGGTATGACTGTGAACAACTTTGGAGCCATTCTTCAGTGTTGCAGCTTCTCAGTTTGTTTTAGGGCACCAGATTCCCTTTTTACTATGGTTTTCGTTGGCCCCTGTTGTTCTAGGTATATCTTTTTTTACTATTATCTGTTTGTTTAATTAACTTTAACGAAAAGAAGTATAAATTGTAATGATTTAATGACATAAATGTTTTAGTTGTATCAATGGCGTCATTGACCGAACTTTCATTCAATGGCGTCATGATTTCTAACATTTCTTTCACTTACAAAAGCATATATTCAAAGAAAGCCATGGTAGCATCGATATTTTGTTAATTATAATCAGCGAATTATCTCGAATATTAACCAATTATAAATATGTTTGGTTTTTATTTGACAAACAGGTATGGATAGCATGAATGTGTATGCTTACATTTCGATAATCGCACTTTTATTTTGCCTCCCGCCAGCAATACTTGTAAGATAACTTATTAAGTTGTTCATATTCGTTTTCTTCTTTTCTTGATTCGTTTTCTTCTTTTCTTGATTTAAGAATTCAGAATTTTTTGTGTTTTTTTTTTCTTTTTTAGATAGAAGGACCTAAATTGATGCAATACGGGTTTAGGGACACGATAGAGAAAGTTAGAATGGTTAAGTTCGTATCCAATTTGTTCTGGATCGGAATGTTCTATCATCTATACAACCAGGTAAAACAAAACATATGATTCGAATGTCAATTTTCATTATTAGGGTTTTGGGTGATTAATTATTTGTTTTCCTTGTGTGTCAAGATTGCAGCCAACACGTTGGAGAGGGTTGCGCCGCTTATGCACGCTGTAGGAATGGAGGCAACACTTTGGAGTGGCAGGCAATAGAAGCAGTTGATCGGACAATGCAAGACATCACAGATGAGAAGCTCCCTTTCAGCGGAAAGATAATGGTTATGGGACCTGACTTTAGACAAGTGTTGCCGGTCGTGAGACGAGGCACTCGAGCACAAATTGTCGACTCTATCTTACAAATGTCACCTCTATGTGCTTCAGTTAAAAGGCTTCGATTAAATATCAACATGAGAGCGGTAAATGACCCACGGTTTTCTGATTTTTTTATTACGAGTCAGTGATGGAAAGGAGGAAACATTGGACGAGTCCTATATTTGTATACCTGATAACATGTCCATTCCATACACTGATAAAACTGAATCAGTGGACGCTCTGATTGATGCAATATTTCCTTCTTTGCAATCCAACGACGCCGATTCAAAATTTATCATTTCGAGGGCGATATTGTCAACTAAAAATGAAAGTGTTGACGAGATTAATAATAAGTTGATCGAATGATTTTCTAGCGAGCAAAAAGTTTACTATAGTTTTGATGAAGCGGAAGATGACAAAAATAACTTATATCCGATGGAATATTTGAACTCGCTAAATGTTAGTGGTGTACCCCCTCATTATCTTCGGTTAAAAACTGGGTGCCTGTAACACTTTTGCGAAATATCGATCCTTCAAATGGGTTATGTAATGGAACAAGATTGATATGTCGAGCTTTCCAACAAAATGTCATTGATGTAGAGATAGTTGTTGGTCAACATGCTGGAAAAAGAGTGTTTTTACCAAGAATTCCTCTATGTCCGTATGACGATGAGATGCTCCCATTCAAACTTAAGAGAAAGCACTTTCCAATTCAGCTTAGTTTCTCTATGATAATCAATAAAGCTCGAGGATAAACAATTCCAAATGTAGGTTTTTATCTACCAGAATCGGTATTCTCACATGGCCAGCTTTATGTGGCGTTGTCCAAAGGAATATCACGTGTCAATACCAAGGTATTAGTAAAGCCAGAAAAAACGTTTGATAATGATGGAATGTACACATCAAACGTTGTGTACAAAGAAGTGTTATGTGATTAACAAGGTACAATCAACAACTTATTTGATGTTTAATGCAGGGCTAGCAGATGAAGCAACATGATTGCAGATTGGTGTACTTTATATATTAGACATGTTATAAACGTACAAAACTACATGGTTGCAGATTGTTGTTATTTATATAATGTAAAATCAAGTATGAACTATTAGATGAATTATTTGAGATGTAGACTCAACTTTTGTCGTGTTGTATGACTATGCACTTAGCAAGAAACTATATGTTGAAATGAACTATTCGACACAGAATAGTCTACCAAATGGCCGCAATGAATAGTTCACGTCTAAAGAAAACTAATCATCACATTAAAACTATCTTCTGAAAGAAACTTTTTTCCGCCCACCGCATAGCGTGCGTAACGACTAATATATATATATATTATATATATATATATATATATATATATATATATATATATATATATATATATATATATACAGGGTGATATTGGTTGAGAACTCATAGTTTTCCGAAAACCCAAGAACAAAAGTTGGAGCGTTAAATCAAAATTAACACACTAAGGGCATGATCATCATCTTACCGATCTCATTTAATATTTAATTTTTTTTTTTTGTTATTGAAAATAGTAATAAAATGTTCTAAAAATTAACATAATAAATCAAACTTCAGAATTTTATTTTAAATAATTTTTGATTTTTTTTAAAGAAAATGGAGATGTTTTACTTTTTTCAGAAAACATGAATTTTTTTTAAAAAATTGATTTTTTTTAAGTAAAGCATTTTTTTTTTTAAAAAAACTGCATTTTTTCCAAAAAAAAAACTGCAGTTTTGAAAAAAAAGAACTACAACTTTTTGAAACAAAAGCTGTAACATTTTTCAAAAGAAACTGCATTTTTTTAAAAGTAAATATTTAAAAATCAGTAAATTTAAAAAAATAAATAAATAAATAAATCTTATTTTTTTTTACCAAAAAAATCGAAGTTTTAGGTGCATATATGCAGATTTTTCGAATGCATATATGCATATTTCGTATACTATAATATTCGTAAGTAAATCATAAAAAATCTCATTTTTATTAATCAATCTATAAACGTAATAATATAAGAATTTTATTTGATACAAAATAAAATATAAAAAAAATCTACGAAGATTCATCGTGTTGTCATTTCTTCATATCAAAATTTCCATATTTTTTCAATGTATCACTTTTCACCTCTTCAATATTTTCCACAAATTCTTCAAAATCTACAATAAAATTAAAAAAAAAAATTGATTAATGTAAGAACACTCACAACAATGCACATGTATATATATATATATATATATATATATATATATATATATATATATATATATCATGTAAGATTCACATGTGAGTTTATCATATAAGATTCACATGTGATTATATAATGTGATATTCGAATGTGATTGTATATTTTAAGATTCAAATGTGAAATTGATAAGAAAATTTTAAAAAATAATTAACGAAAAACACCCACACAAAATGCATGTGTGCATATAGACGTAATTCATATGTGATTCACTTGTGATTTACATGTGAATCACATGTAATTGATATGTGATTTACATGTGAATCACATGTAATTCATATGTGATTCACTTGTGATTTACATGTGAATTCGATGTGATTCATATGTGAATTACATGTGAATTCAATGTGATTCATATGTGAATTACATGTGATTTACATGTAAATCACTGTAATTGAAATGTGATTCACCTGTTATTTACATGTGAATTACATGTGCTTCATATGTGAATTACATGTGATTTACATGTAAATCACATGTAATTCATATGTGATTCACTTGTGATTTACATGTGAATTACATATGCTTCATATGTGAATTACATGTGAATCAAATGATTCATATGTGAATTACATGTGAATCACATGTAATTCATATGTGAATTACATGTAAATCACATGTAATTCATATGTGATTTACTTGTGATTTACGTGTGAATTACATGTGAATCACATGTAATTCATATGTGATTCACTTGTGATTTACATTTGAATTACATGTGATTCATATGTAAATTACATGTTATTTACATGTGAATCACATGTAATTCACATGTGATTCACTTGTGATTTAAGCGTATCACTCACTCATGTATACAATTATCATTGAAATAATCATGGGGGGGATATCGTAAGTAGTCCATATTGAACATGCCCTTTGGACTCCGATCAGTGGCAGCATGTCTCCTTTAGTATACTAACTGAGAGTTAGCCCATGACTCTTGTTTAATAGTAGCACCAAATTTAATATCACCAAGAAATGAAACGGATTATCTTTCTGGAGACGTCGACACCCATTTCATTTCACTAAAATCTAGTTTGTAAGCACTGAAGCGCTTCCCATATTGTTCATTTTGATCAAACACAAAAAGGCTTTCATCAGAACTTACAAACTGCTGAAGCACTAAGCTTAAACCCGGCTTTGGAGAATTCTTGAATTCATGTAAAGTTAGTTTGGGGTTTAGTCCAAATCTCATTTCACATACACGATAACCAATGTGTAGGATATATTATTAATAAACAATACATTCAAGGGCATTTTAGACTTACTACTACAAAAAGACAAATAGGACTCGGTGGATAAGACCCATTTTTAGAGAAAATCGGGCTATACTAAATACAGAACCGGCTCTTATAAAGGAATTGGAGAATATGACCGATTTTTTCAAACATAACCGTGTTATATGTGACTATGGGACGCAATTTTGAATGGGTCATAGGACCCAGTTTCAAAAAATCGGGTTATTAGACCCTTCGACTTTCCTCTTTTTTCGTAGCATGCGAATTAGGGGATATATTTAGTTTGTTGGTATGATAAAAGGATAAAATTAACAAACACGAGGAAATTTAGTGTGTATTGATTTTGGGAAGAATTGCAAAACTAATTTTGGAGGGAATAACAAAAAAAATCTAGCGGGAAAATGAGTTATTAATATATATTTATTAATTATATGTTATCTTGAATAAAATAATTTCAATATTCTAATTTTTAAATTAATATAAACTTTAGAGAGGTTGTTTATTTTGTTATTTTATCTTTTTTTTTTTGCTTTACATTTATTAATTTGTTATTTGCGTTAACTCTTAAAATAATGTAATTAGTTTTTTTTTAGAATTATATATATATATATATATATATATATATATATATATATATATATAGTAAGGTAGGTAGGTTCCATTGAGATTAAAAATAAAATAGAAATCTTGAGATTCAACCTCAACCATGTATTTCACATTTGTCGCACTAACCCTCCGGTGTACCAACGCGATAGGTCTGGTATAATCGTAAATGATTATACAATGCCGCCCATTCATTTCTCCTATGCCACTATTGTTAAGATTTATGGAGTCATGAACATATTGACAAGTTCCTAAGGGCTAAAGGACCATAAATGTAACTTGGCAATTAACAATTGAATTGAATTGTTGGGTAAACGCACTATCACCAACTCTCATGTGAAAAAGGAAATTTGTTTCTGCTGCAGAAAAACAACATTAAATGCATAGGAATTATTTAAAGCTAGGCATATTTTCGAGGAGGCTATTTTCTTCCTTTGGCAGACAATTAACAAATGTCAAATGGTGGGTATTCACTTTCGCATTAGAGTGAATAATTGTTACGGCTCACAACGTATATATAAATATATGTGTGTTGTAAGTAGAAATAGCAGAGAGCACAACACAACGATCATATATACACATAAAAGAAATAGTGAGGTTGTATTTTATTTTCGACAGTTAAAATACGAGTGATACCTTACAGTGAGCGATCAAATTACAAGTGCAGTTTTTAGCCTTGTATGATTGTAATTTCCTTGGTGTTAATAAAATCTCATCTCTCTCGTTCGCCCGTGGATGTAGGTCAGATTAGACCGAACCACGTTAAATATCGTGTTCAATTTCGTTTGCAATTTTTCAGTAATTTTATTCCGCGAGTGTTACCGAAATCGTTAATCGTTCTGTTCGAAGTGCTTAACGTGTTTGGTATATTCCCAATAAATTGGTATCAGAGCTAATGCTGAAGATAGGAAAGTTAAGATCGAAAAATTTGATGGTCAAGATTTCGGTTTCTGGAAAATGCAAATCGTAGATTATCTCTACCATAAGAAGTTACACCAACCTTTGTCCAAAGACAAACCAGAAGCAATGATGCAGGAGAAGTGGGACTTATTAGATCGGCAGGCACTCGGAGTGATAAGGTTCTCATTGGCAAAGAATGTCGCTTACAATATTGTCAATGTGAAGACAACCTACAATCTGATAAATGCGTTGTCTAATATGTACGAAAAACCTTCAGCAGCAAATAAGGTTTTCTTGATTCGGCAGCTTGTAAATCTGAAGATGAAGGAGGGTAGCTCAGTGACAGACCACGTGAACGAATTCAACTCAACAATATCAAG